ACCCTGGGATCATGACCTTTGCCGAAGGCAGACGCTTAACGACTGAACCACCCAGGCACCCCTCTTTTTTTTTTTTTTTTTTTTAAAGAATCTCATTTTAAGAAAGTAGGTAAATCAGAAAAGGAGACTGGCAAGAAACACATTGGCCTTTTCACTAACGGTCAGCTGAGGACTTGTAAATTTGGTTTCGTGTGTGTGCCTTAGCACCATGTACTGAGGAACATAGAAGCTAATAATAATTTTCATATTATTTTAGTAATAGAAAAAGGATGTCTGTAATTGTCCGAACTCCTACAGGAAATCTCCGGCTCTACTGCAAAGGGGCTGTGAGTATAGGGATTCATTATTCATATTAACTCCTTCCCTCTGTTTCAACAACTTGTAGGAAGCCTTTTACAACTTCACAAGATTTTAAAATGGTGTTACTTTGTGTCTGCTGTTGGGCTGGTTGTTGAGAACATTATCCAAGACTGAAACAGAGTAGCCCCAAAGCTTCCCCAACAGTCAAGCCCATTGAAATTTATGGTGGTTCACACCAGAGTGTTTATTAAGCTTTAATGTCAGTGACAAATTTGTTGTCACTCAGTTGTTCTGCAGAGAACTAATGATTAGATTGTTGAGGCTAAGGGTTTGTAGCAGGAATTTTGATCCCAGTTTCCAGCCCAAAGTGTTTGGATTTGGTAAATCTTAGGAAATGGCTTAACCTCTGTACAAACCCTTTTTTTTTTTAAGCACTTATATATTTGTTCACAGCCATAGACAATTAAAAGAAAAACAGCTTTATTCAGGTAAAAGTGACATAAAATAAACTGCACATATTTAAAGTGTACATTTTGATAAGTTTTGATACCAATCTGCTTTTTGTCACTATAGATTCATTTGCATTTACTAAATTTTATATAAAGTCAGATAGGATATATGGCTTTTTGTCTGGCTTCTCTTACTCATAATTATTTTAAAATTCATTCATGTTGTAGCTCATATTAATAGTTCATTTCTTCATACTGCTGAATGGTATTCCATTGTATGGATGTATCAGTTTGTTCATCCATCACCTGTTAATGAACTCTTTGTTTGCAGTTTTGTCTACTACAAACAATGCTCCTATAAACATTTGTGTACAAGTCCTTGTATGGGCACATAGTTTCATTTCTCTTTGGTAAATATCTAGCAGTAAAATGGCTAGATCAATGTAGGTGTATTTTAACTTTTTAAGAAACCACCAAACTGTGGTCACATTCCTACCAGCAATTGTCACCAGCACTTGGCATGGTTAGTCTCTTTAATTTTAGCCATTCTCATAGGTGTGTATCTCATTGCGATTTTAATTTACATTTCCATGCCATGACTGATGATAGTGAGCATCTTTTCATGTGTTTATTTGCCATCTGTGTTGGGGGTTCTCAAGATTACCCATATGTTTTTAGTGGATCTCTAAAAGGATTCATGATTATATGCATGGCTAAGATGTATTATAGTAATGTAGCAAGGATACACAACCAGATTATAAGGGAAAAAGATGGGCGGAGTCTGGAGGAATCCATGTGCAGACTTCCCATGGATGTTATACAGGGAAAGTTTATATCAGCTCAAAGAACTGAATACCAGCCAAGTCCCTTAGACGCCAGCCAAGAACCAACCTTGTAAGGAGGTCTTTCTAAGGATAACATTCTCTGACTTGTTATGGTAACTCTTTTCTGTGCACCATCCACTTATTTTCTTTGGTGAAATGTCTGTTTAAATATTTGTCCCTGTTTTTATAACTGTTTGTGTTTCTTTGTATTGAGTTTTGAGAGTTCTTTTTTAATTTTTGGATATAAGTCCCTTATCAGATTCATGATCTGCAAATATCTGTGGCTTTTTTCATCCTCTTAACAGGTCTCTGAAGAACAGGAATTTGTAATTTTGATGAAGTCCAATTTAACAATATGTTCCTTTATGGGTCATGCTTTTAGTGTCTTAGCTAACAAATTTTTGCCTAATTCAAGGTCACAAAGATTTCCTCCTGTTTTCTCCTTCTTTTATAGTTTTAGGTTGTATACTTACTTCTGGGATCCATCTTGAGTGATTTTGGGATATGGTATGAGACATGAGTAGGAGTTCATTTTTTACAGATGAGTATCTAATTTTACAGCACCATTTATTAAACTGTTTATTCGTTCTTCACTGAATTGCCTTTGCACTTTTGTAAAAAATGAACTGTTTATATATATGTGGGTCTATTTCTGGACTTTCTGTTTTCTCTCATCGTTCTGTTGGTTATCTTTACACCAATACCACAGTGTCTTGATTATATCACTTTATAATAAGTCTTAAAATCAGATATCATGAATTCTCCAATTTTGTTCTTTTTCAAAGTTGTTTTGAATGTTCTGGAACCTTTGCATTTCCATATGAGTTTTATACTTTTTTTGAAGATGCTTTTTATCATATTAAGGAAATTTCCCCCAATTCCTAGTTGGTTGAGATTTTAAAAAATCGGTAATGGATGTTAAATTTTGTCAAATACTTTTCTTGACTTGATTGAGATACTAATATGATTTTTTCTTTTGTGCCTGTTAATATGGTAAATTACATTGAATTGATTTTTTAACGTTAAACCTATCTTGTATTCCTGAGATAAGCCCCATTTGTTCTGATATATTATCCTTTTTATGTATAGTTGGATTCACTTTCCTAAAGTTTTATTTAGAATTTTGCATCTACTTTTAAAAGGGATAGCGATCTTTAATTTTCTTTTCTTGTAATGTCTTTGTTTGATTTTTAATGCTGACCCTATAAAATTAATGGGGAGGACTCTTTTTCCTTTTCAGTTTTCTGGAAAAGTGTGCATAGAATTGAGATTATTTGTTCTTTAAATGTTTGCTAGAATTTACTAGAAAGCCATCTGGACCTCAGGGTAGGCTAGCTAGACAGTTATTGATTTTATTTATTTTTTCATTTATAGGTTTTATTGATCTTCCTAAAGAAATTGCTTTCAGATTTGACTTTTCTTGAAATTTTCTCTGTTTTCTGTTTCATTAATTTCTCTTTATTATTCCCATTCTTTTGCCTACTTGTGGTTTGATTTGCTCCTCTTTTTCTAGCTTCTTAAGGCAGAACTTGATTTGAGACCTTTCTTTTTAATACAAATGTTTAGTGCTATAAATATCCTCCAAATCTTTGCTTTAGCAGCATGTCACAAATTTTGATGTGTTGCATTTTCATCTTCATTCAGTTCAAAATATTCTATATTCTAAGTTTTCTTTTGATTTCTTCTTTGACTCATGGGTTATTTTGAAGTGGGTTAGTTTTCAAATATTTAGGAATTTTCTGGAAATATTCCTTTAATTGATTTATAACATAATTCCATTTTATTAGAGAACAGACTTTATATGACGTGAATCCTTTTAATTTAATTGGGACTTGTTTTATGGTTCACATTGTGACTTATCTAATGTTAAATGTTTTGCATGCACCTAAAAAGCCTGAATATTCTGCTGTTTTGGGGTGAAGTAGTTTATAACTATCTGTTAAGTCAAGTTGATTGATAGTGTTGTTCAAATCTTCTATATCCTTAATGATGCTTCATTTACTTGTTTTATCAATTATTGATAGATAATTGATAGGGGGATATTGAAATCCCCAACTGTCATTGTGGATTTGTGATGTTCATCTTGAAGTTCTGTTAGTTTTTACATCATTGCATTTACTTCTATTAGTTTTAGCTTCATTTTGAAACTAATTTATTGGATGCATAAGCATTCAGAATTACTGGTTCCTCTTGATGAATTGACCCTTCTGTCATTCCAAAATGATTTTCCTTATCCCTGGCAATTCTCTTTACTCTGAAATCTCTATTGTCTGGTTATAATATTGCCATTCCTGGCTACTTTTGATTAGTGTTGGGTAGGGTATATCTTTTTCTTCCTCTTTAACCCATTTGTGTCTTTATATGCAAAGTCTGGTTCTTCCAGGGAGCATGTAGTTGGTTTGTGTTTTGGAAATCACTGCCTTTTAACTGGGTGTTTAGACCATTTACATGTGTGCTTACTGATACAGCTAGGTTTACATACATCATCCTGCAATTTATTTTCTATTTGTCCCAGTTCTTTTTTCCTTTATTCCAAGAATTACTTGAGTATTATATAATTCCAATTTCTTTCCTTTAAAAAAATTTTAGTGGTTGTTAGTAGGCACCTTCAATCTATTAATTTCTATTTTCAAGTGATAATATACTATTTCATGTGTAGTATAAGAATTACAATTCTGAACTTCCATCTCTCTCCTCCCAATCTTTGTGCTCTTGTCAGACATTTTAATTTTACAAATGTTATGAATTTCACACTACATTAAGTTTGTTCAAGCAATTATTCTTTTTTAATAAAATATATAACAAGAAAAATATTGTATATATATCCATATCCATATATATGTGTATATATACACACGCACACATACAGACTCATGTCATTACCATTTTCAATGCTCTTCAGACTCATATTTCCATTTGCTATAGTTTCCTTCTGTCTGTTGGATTCCCTTTACCATATCTTATAGCATGGATCTGTTGGTGATAAGTTTTTTCAGACTGTTTATGTCTGAAAAGATTTTTATTTCATCTTTATTTTCTCTGGTGTTCATTTTGAAATTTTTGCTGAATATAGGATTCTAGGTTGACAATTTTTTTCTTTCAGTTTTTTAAAGCATGTGCTTCACTTGCATTCTCAATGAGCAATCTGTTATCTCTGTTCCTCTGTATGTAATGTATCCTTTTTGGAATTGTGCCTTCCCTGGGGCTTTTTGGGTTCCTTCACATCTATTAGATATAACAATAAAATTATAATGCAGTATTTAAAATTTGGATTGTTAGGCTTAGGTAAGATATTGGTCACAAGAACTTTTTTTTTTTTTTTTTTTCCGGATAGGATACAGTGATTTATGAGAGACTTTCAGAAGATTCTCGCTTTATGAAGGAGACATTAACCCACCTGGAATATTTTGCCAAAGAAGGTAAGTGAAAATTGTTTAGAATCTTGTTTCTTTTTGAAATGCTATTCTTAAATATTAAAATTGTAACCTGAATGCATGTCACTGATGCTTGGCCCATAGGTGGGCAAGGGGAGCTCATTCCTATATGTGACTTTGTAATGCCTTCTGTTTGCTTAAAAAGTAAATGGTTCCTCAAACACACCCTGTTGAGATATTATTTTTCCTTTCTTCCTCTCCCCACCAGCAAATGTTGAAAAGTATGTTTTTACTGTGTAGTTCTTCCTTTATTCCAAAAACAGTGTCTTCAAAGACATCTATTATCTGTTTCTATTTGTTGTAGTAGGAACTTGGCCCCTAATGGAAAAAGAGAGGTTTTTCCAGTATGTGTTGTATATTTCAAAGTTAATTACTTTGTGCATATAACTCAGAAACCTGACATAGTTGATGTTTTCCTGCCATTCTCTTCTTATCCTTCTGATTTTGACTTGTTACCCACCTCGAGAAATAAAATTCCATGAGTGAGTTTTGAATAAGAACAAGTTTTGAAAAATCGAGGTGTAATATCACATAAAAGTAAAGCTAATAATCCCTGGAAGCGGTATCCCACTTTGTCCTTTTAGTTTGTAAGCTGCTGGATATTTTGCAAGGTTGTACTTTGGGCCTTTTGCTGCCATCTTAAAATATAAGTGAGCTGTAGGCAGGTTACAACAGGTAGAAGCATATAGGAACTGTATTGTAATGGAGCTCAAAACAGAATAACAACTTCTACAGCTTATCTGTAGAGCTTTAATTTCTAGGGGATCCTCAACTATTTGAATATTTTGCAGGAGTTAGCCTAAAATATTAGGATACAATATAATTTCTAAAATTTTTTCTTTGCAAAAATGGGACTTAAATTAATTTTCTGTTATTTTAATGATTATTTGGCTTACTTTGAAATTGAAAAACTAAAGCCTTATTCATTCTTTCCTTCCTCCAACAAATAGTTATTGAGTATTTATTGAGTGCTGTGCACTGTTCTAAGCTTCTGGGACAGAAGTGAACAAAACATAGCTCATACCTTGAAGAAATTAGCCAATAATAGATAATGTCAGGGGGTGATAAGTGCTATGGAGAAAAATTAAACAGGATAAGGGGAACAGAGTATGATGGGGTGCTATCTCTATAGGGTGAGTTAGACAGAGACTGAGGGAAGAGAAGGAGAATACCAGCAGAAAGTATTCCAGGTCAAGGGCAGAACAAGTTCAAGTGTCTAGAAGTAAGAGGATCAGCAGGGACAGGACTGTAAGCAATGACCGGGGGTGGGGGGGGGGAGGTCAGGGGGAAATAAGATCAGCAAGGTAGCCAGGGACAGATCAGGTAAGACCATGTGAAGGACTTCACATTCCCATGACCTCTACACTTTTGGATTTTGCTTTCAAATTCTGTACTCCTCCCTGATCGCTGATGGCTTGATCAGTTTACATTCCATTCTTTCTTACAGGGCTGAGAACTCTCTGTGTTGCCCATGCAGATTTAACTGAGGAAGAATATCAGCAGTGGTTGATGCAGTATAAAAAAGCGAGTACAGTTATCCAAGACAGAATGCGGAGTTTGGAAGAATGTTATGATAATATTGAAAAGGTAACATACCCGATATGTACTCTACATGCCAAGTTAAATATGTGAAAACATACACTTACCAATGTTTTCATATCTTGATATCATTTTAAAAACTCAGTTAAAATGGGGCGCCTGGGTGGCTCTGTTGGTTAAGTGTCTGCCTTCAGCTCAGGTGATGATCCCAGGTTCCTGGGATCGAGCCCTGTTGCCCGATCGGGCTCCCAGCTCAATTGGAGTCTCCTCTCTCTCTCTCGCTCTCTTGCTTGCTCACTCTCAAATAAATAAAATCTTAACAAAAAAAAACCTCAGTTAAATTGTTTTTTTTTCCTTCAGAAATATAAAGCTGTCTTATACTGAAAATTCATAAAATAGATCTTAAAATATTCAAAATATTTCTTTCATTTCTGAATTATATCCTAATCACTTCAATTTTGTTACCCCTTTTTATAACTTTTCCCATCCAAAAGCAATACATGTTTATCACACAAAACTAAGCCAGAATAGTAAATAATAATCATCTGTAATGTTGGGCTAATGACTAAATTCTGGTGTATAATCCTCCAACCTCTTTTTTCATATATGTGTATTGTCTATGTAGTATTCCATTGTAGGTTTTTAATACACATACATACATTTTTTCCCATAAAAATTTAAAGTAAAAAATCTCCCCTCACCCAAAATCTCTGTCAAATTTTCCCCATAAAAATACTGCTCAAATCATGAAATTTTTCACTCTGCAATAAATTGGGAATGTTTTCCATATCACTGAATATTTTTCTGTTATTTTCTTAGATTAGTCATGGTATTTCATTACTTTTATTGTGCTATTCTCTGGTGGTTACTGTCCCAGGGGATCTCATGCACCCTGGACTATTGTCACTGGAGGATCATTGTGAATTTGTTTGTGGTGGCCTCAGGGATCTTGTGGCTCCTGGGCCAATTCTTATCTTAGTTTCTTGGCTTGGGTTCTTTTGTCATTTGCTTCCATGAGCTCTGCATTTCATTTCTGCAGGAACATGGCCAGAACAGATTTAGTCTGGAGGATTTTCTTTTCTTTTCTTTTCTTTTTTAAAGATTTTATTTATTTATTTGAGCGAGAGAGAGAGCATGAGGTAGGGAGAGAGGGAGAAGCAGACTCCTTGCTGAGCAGGGAGCCCAATGCAGGGCTCGATCCCAGGACCCTGGGACCATGACCTGAACCAAAGGCAGATGCTTAACTGACTGAGCCACAGGTGCCCCGATAGACTGGGGGATTTTCCTGACATTAGGTTCATCTTTTTTTTCAAGGTCATTTTGTTGAGAAATTAGGAACCTAACCTAGCTTCACACCAAGTGCAGGAAGATGCTGCAGGAGCCCTCGTGGGTGATTATTCGACATCTGTTGACACAGCACAGCGAAGAGACAAACTGATTTATGTAACCCTCCTCTTCCTCATTTTCCCAGCAGGTTGTTTGTTGCTCCCACACAGGGAAGAAATCTGGGCAATTGAAAATTGGCCTCTGGGGGCACCTGGGTGGCTCATTGGGTTAAGCTTCTGACTCTTGGTTTTGGCTCAGGTCATGATCTCAGGACTCTGAGGTTGACCTCACATCAGGCTCCATACTCAGCGCCGAGCCTGATTGCGCCCTCTCCCTCTGCTCCGCCCCCCCTCCCCCACCCCACACACCCTCTCTCTCTCAGAAATAAAATCTTAAAGAAAAAGAAAAGAAAAAAGCAAGAAAGAGGAACTGGCCTCTGGAACTTGAAAGATTGTATAGTTCCTTTTTAATCAAATTGATATATTTTATATTTTAGTTTTAAGTTTTAATCTGGAAGTCATAGGTGGTAAGGAAGTCAAAGAGTAAGTTTGCCTTTGCCAGGTCATGTGGGTGGGTGGCAAGGGCAGGGCGTGGCATGGCCTTAAGCTGACTGGTTCACTCATCTGTTGAATGCTAGTCTCCAGCATGTACACAGTGCCTGGCACACAGTCGGTGTTCAGCAAGTATTAATTGAATAGATGAATGAAATATTGGGGTTGAATGTTTTAAGCTCCTCTGCTTTCCAAGGAAGGTAGATAACTGTATAATTGGCAGGGCTTGATGTTGATTCTTTTTCTTCAACTTCAAAGGGCAGTAATAAATGGTAGAAGGGCTATCATGGGCCAGTTTTTCCTATCTGGTCTTGGAGGTTTTTGACCTAGGTGAGTGCCACATTACAGATTGTCTGTATAGTCAGAGTGAGTAATGAGCAGCATACAGTGCTTGGAAGGCCTGAATGGAAATCTAATCAGTTTTAGATACTTTAACAAAGTACTATTGTACTATTTAACAAACTACCGCATTTTCTCTCCATGACTATGAGGTTAAAATTACAGGCATCAAAATACTCAATGTCTGTGTTTAGTGTGACTAGGATATCTCTTTAGCCTGAGTCACTTATGCAAATGACAGGCTCTGTGACGTTAAAATCACACTGAAAATTGTCAAATATATTCATTTGTGTCCCTTTCCCCCACATGATGTTTTCCAGTTCACCCAGGAGCGATGAGCTCCTGGGTATTGAATCATGTGGGCCAAACTTCTGGGGGGCTGGGGACTAGACCTTGCTATTCATTACATCTCTGTCAGGGGAGACCTATCTTGAGAACTAGGTACCCCACTGAAGGGTACTTCATGAAAAATGGACACATTTAGGGGGGCAAATGATACATGAGAGGATTGTTGTACATAGGTTTTGATCAGAGGGAATTGGATTTTTTTAAAAAGCTGTATCTTTCAAGCTGTAATGGCCTAAAAGAATTTTGATTCTTCACTTTTTTTCTTTTCCTTAAGTCTATGTCTTCAATTCTAGTTTTCTGGGCTTGGAACAACTGTATGACACCTAGAAAAACTTGTCCTTCCAGTTGTCCTTTGACTGTTATTTTTCTTACTTTATATTAGCCACCAGAGCATCTAATCTTCTGCCTCATGACTTGTGTTGTAATTTCCACTGTTCTAGCTGATGTTGTATTAGTTATAACTGTTGTTGCAGTTAAATGGCTATTCTCTGCAGACTTTGAGGTAAGTATTGGAATCTGACACCAAAGACGTGTCAGAGTCAACTAGTTCTGTGAAATGATTCTTATTGATAATTCCATGTACGTTGTTATGATCCTACTTGTTTTCAGTTCTAGGGAGGTATTTTCTGATCATCTTCTTAGATCTTGAGGCCAGGAGTACTTCTTCACCTCTTGAATATATTTCTTTGGACACTCATAAGATCTAAGTTTCTTTCCTGTTGGATAAGAGTAAGAAAGACAATGTCTACATTTGTATCAATAGTTATTAAGTACATCATAACTTAGAGCATAACTGCTAAAGTAATTAACTTTCATGTTGCCAGGGTCACTCTATTGGTAAAACATAAATTTGACATATTGGCAGATTGAATTAGACTTTGAAGCATTCCTTGTTTGTTTTTTTTTCTTAATACAATAGCTTTATTGAGATATAATTCACATACCCTACAATTCTCCCATTTAAAGTATATAAGCTACAGTTTTTAGAGAATTGTGAGACCGTGACCACAATTAACACAGAATATTTTCAACATACCCTCCCCCAAGCTCCATATCCATTAGTATTCACTCTTTGTTACCCTCCTATTCTCTCCCCCAGCCCTATGCAGCCACTGATTTACTTCTAGTCTCTATAGATTCACCTTCTCTGGATATTTCATATAAATAGAATCATAAAATAGGTGGTCTTTAGTGACTTGCTTCTTTCACTTAGCTTAATGTTTTCAGGATTCACCCATACTGTAGTATGTACCAGTATTTCATTACTTTTCAATGCCAAATAGTATTCCATTGCGTAGATACCTGATTGTTTATCCATTCTTCTGTTGAAGGTCATTTGGATTGTTTCCACTTGGTTATTGCGAATAATGCTGCCGTAAGTAATCATACAAGTTTTCATGTGGACACATTCTTTAATTTATCTTATGAATATACCTGGGAGTGAAATTGCTGGGTCATATGGCAACTCTGTGTAACCATTTGAGAAGCTGCCAGACTATTTTCCCAAAGTGGCTGCACCATTCTACATTCCTACCACCAGTGTTTGAGGGTTCCAATTTTTTCACATCCTTGCCAACACTTGTTACTACCTGTAACTTATTATAACCATCCTAGTGGGTATGAAGCAGTATCTCATTGTGATTTTAATTTGCATTTCTTTAATGATTAATGATGTTGAACATTTTTTCATGTGTTTTTTTGATTATTTGTATATCTTCTTTTGGAGAAGTGTCAATTCAAATCCTTTGGCCATTTTTCAATTAATATATTATTTTTTTAGAGTTTTAGAGTAGTTTTAGGTTTTCAGAAAAAAAATGAGCCAAAAAAGTATAGATAGTTATATATACTTCCTCTCTTTCCCTTCCACAGTTTCTTCTATGATTAACATTTTGCCTTAGTGTGGTACGTTTGTTACAATTGATGAACCAATATCGATACACTATGATTAACTAAACTCCATGGCTTACATTAAGATTCACTCTTGTTGTATAGTTCTATGGGTCTTGACAAATGCATGTCACCATCCACTACTGCAGTATCATACAGAATAGTTTCACTGCCCTAAAAATCTCCTCTGTTCACCTATTCATTCTTCCCTCTTTCCTTCTGAACCCCTGGCAACCACTGATCTTTTTTTTACTGTCTCTATAGTTTTGCCTTTACCAGCATGTCATATAGCTGTAATCATAAGTATGTAGCCTTTTCAGATTGGCTGCTTTTGCTTAGGAATATGCATTTAAATTCCTTCATGTCTTTTAATAATAACGTGATGGCTCATTTTTTAAAAGTTTGTTGTTTGTTTATTTATTTATTTATTTATTTATTTATTTATTTTTTTTTTTTTTAACTTATTTGAGAGAGAAAGCAGAGCGAGCGAGAGGACACAAGTGGGGAGAGAGAGGCAGAAGAAGAGGGAGAAGCGGACTCCCTGTTGAGTAGGGAGCCCAACACGGGGCTTGATCCCAGGACCCTGAGATCATGACC